TCGCTCATATATTGATCATTTATCATTAGGCAATATATGATGCAAGAAGCGTAATTAAATAAATGCATATGAATTTTTCTCATAATTCCGGTCCTCTTATTCCAAACCAAAAACTCCTAAAGTGAAAAGATTAAAGTTTTACCCGGGTAGTTAGCCAGGTAAGGATAGTAATAGAGGTTGATCAAAGATCAATTAAGTACCTCGTTCCTTGCAGAGTGCGTTACGCAACTCCTAAACCTTGCCTTAGACACCAACTAATCTAAGAAAACTTGAATCGGTTCACTCAATGAGTTTTTGTTCCTTAACAATATATAGAAACTTTAAAATATTTCCTATTGATGTTCAAACCTCATGATTTTCATGTCTTGAGAGTAAAAACCCATCTGCTGCAGACAATGGCTACTTAAGTTGCTGAACAAATCTGCATTTACTTTTACCACCTTCTGTACTAAGCTTATTAGATGCATAAGCACTCCAAAGTATGGAATTATAGAAGGCACCATATTGATAGCTTAAATAAATGAAGGCATTAAACCATGAAAAAATTTAAATACTTCAAAGCATATATATATCCAGATTTTGTTCACTTGTCAAAACCATGTATATGAAATTTTCAAGGATAAATATGTATACTAAACCATGTATATGAAATTTTCAAGGATAAATATGTATACTGCTGCAAATTTATAGCATGTTTCAAATGAGTGCTTATCCACTAGCACAAGGGAAAGTTTTATTCACATACAAGAGAAGGGAAACTATACATGATCTATCACTTAAGGTGTTCATGATTAGAAATGACACATTACTTAAGGATATATAGCTAAGGAAGTTCAAAGGACATAACATCATCATAGTTGATGACAAAGGCAAGCCAGTCATAAATCATTAGAGATATAGTTGTGCAGGACCAATCAAGCACACATCGCAGTTCATAGAGGAATGGTAAAGCACGATTAACCACAGTAATTACTAGATTAATTACTAGTTAAGAACAATTAATAGTAATTACAGTAACAAATTAATTTCAGCAATTAACCATAGTGATTAAAACGGATGAACAGAAAGAAACTGTAATCTCGAATTAATTTTCTGATGAATAGTAACAAAAAATATTTCGGTTATTTTTTAAAACAACAATAATATTAAACAAATAATTAAAGCAATAAGATATTTTGGTGAACAGTAACTGAATTCTTTTTATGACCAGTAACGTTTTTTTTTATAACTGTTTTTCCGAATTTTAATCAACAACTAATTAATCCTATGAACATTTATATCTCGGATGAACAGTAACCATTTTTAAAATAAAATTAAAACTGTTTTAAATGAACAGTAAAATCTTAATTTCGGAATGAACAGTAACAGTTACAAAAATAATTTTTTTTTATATAGCAATTAACTAATAGTATTAATTACTAGTTATGCCAACAAATAATGAAAGCAATTAGATTAGATGAACAATAATAAAATTGCTTAATAAACAGAAAAATTCTCGAGTGAACAGTAACCCTCAGTGAACAGTAACAAATTTTCCTTATTTTTTAATATTATTTTAATAACAACTAAATTAAATTATTAGTTAACAAATAAACAAGAGTAAGTAAAGCAAATTACAACAAATTAACTATTATTAATTTTCTCTTTTTTTTAAACAGAAAGAAATATATATTTTTTCCTAGATGAACAATACTTTTTAATATAATTTTTCCGGATTAAAAGCAAAAGCTATAAACTTATCAATCTTCTAGATTGTTGGAAATTTATCAAATAATTAAGATTATAGCATGCAGATAAATCCGAAAAAATAAACAATTAAATCTGGCCTGATCGGGAGCAGTCGTGTATTCACTGCCCTAGAAGATTGAGGACCCGCCTATCGCCCTGACGCAAATGATCCCCTCTCCCCTAGCGGTAAAAGCCCCCGAAAACGGCCGGCCTCTGCACTCGGGTGAGAGTGCAGAGCTTCAGCTCAGATGAAGGAAGTTGCCCATAAAATAAAACTAAGATGTATATGAAAATAATATGTAGGGGAGAGAAGAAAAATAAGAGAAACTTGTTGTATATTTTTTCTTTTTGTTTTTCCGAGAATGTGAAGGGCTGCTTATATAGGGGACTTAGAGAGCCGTTACAAATCCTAGCAATCAATACAGTAACGTACGCCATAATGTCGACCGTTACGCAATAAACCCGTAATTAATACGGTAACGTTCGCCATAAATATATAGCCATTATGCACGTATTAATTGCCGAGGAAAATAAAATATGTAAAACATGTTACATTGCCTTTTCTTTAATAAAATATCCAACAATTAGTACATGATCACGTATTGTTTCTATAATTGCAACTTAAGATAAGATATACTTTTTCTCTGAAATCCTCTGCAATGTTTTTACTAGCTAGTCAAAATACGCTTCATATTTGTGACATTAGTAATCTTCAGTTAGTTTCATCAATTATATTAACTCTCTATTTAGATACTCTTCACCAAGCAATATAAGAAAATATTATCTTCCTACCTTGATTGTTAGGAATCGGATCTTCCTGCAAGTGTGGGAAGGAAAAAGAAAGAACTGAAAAGTGATCACAAAAGACCATGATTTCTACCATGTTCGGCAAGATACCTACGTCCATGGTCGCACTAGGGTTTCTTTTCTTTGGGGCAGTTTGGTTTGCTGCAAAAATAAATTGCACCAAATTTCATGGTCGCACTAGGGTTTCTTTTCTTTGGGGCAGTTTGGTTTGCTGCAAAAATAAATTGCACCAAATTCTGCAGCAATAAATGTTGCATGCAGCATTTATTGCAGTAAATCAACTTCATAATTATATTGTAGGAAGTGTATTTCCAAATACAACTTTAGTGTTTGGTTGGAAAACAATTAGGCAAAACCTACAAAATTTTACTATATAAGAAAACTTTGGCGTAGATTGTTTTTTAGTTTAGATTTTTAAAAAAATTCTTATAAGGTGGAATTAATTTTTTTTTTTTAATTCTCTAATTTGAAGCCTACAACTTTTTCTCCTTCTAAATTGGATGTAGCATTTGTTGTGAGTTTTTTCTGCAAAATGCAACCTTTTTTAATTATAAAGTTGCAAACCAAATAATATATTTACAAATCCGATTGTTCTATTTACATTTGCTACTTCATTTTCTTCTAACCACACTACCCCTTTATATGTCATAAAGTTACAATTACAAGAGAGTGCCCTATATATTGGTAGAAACTATGGCAACAATCTGCATATAGAGTTACGGATTTTTAGTACATATTCTCTTACGCCTTGTTTGGTACGCGGGAATTGAGTCAAGTGAGAACAGAAAGAATGTGGAAATGGAATGGAATAGATGTGGAAATGGAATGCTAATTATCATTCTCGTGTTTGGGCGTGTTTAGAGATTCAGTACCGTAAAAGCCATTGCTATATTAATGCAACCAAATCCTCTCAATGTTTGGGCGTGTTTAGAGATTCAGTACCGTAAAAGCCATTGCTATATTAATGCAACCAAATCCTCTCAATCGTTTTCCATAAGTTAGTTTTAGCTACCGTAAAAGCCATTGCTATATTAATGCAACCAAATCCTCTCAATCGTTTTCCATAAGTTAGTTTTAGCTACCGAGACAAAGTCTGGTCTAAGCCCGTACTATAATAAACTCAGTCATATGACTATTTCAAAAGTCTTCTCCCCACCTCCCAACTATTGAAGCAAAAAATTAATTAGAATATTCACAGGCTAAAATGCAATTTCCACCGATAGATGCTTCCATAACCATTTGAGTAATGAGAACTATACTGTTTCTTCTCCTCTTGGATATGGAAGTTTCGAACTTTCTTTGGATTGGTTATGTACTGTTTTCAGCATTGAATAATTTCGTACTTGGAATGATTACCCAACTTATTCATCAATCTTTTTTAATTGGAAAACTTCTCAGGGACCCCAAAAATAGGGGACCTCATGAGGGGACAGGTGAGGTGTCCGCCCTTGGGGGGCTAGATGCACTGTTCATGAACAGTGCATCTAGCCCTCAGGGGCGGACACCTCACATATCCCCTCATGTGATCCCCTATTTAGAGTCCCTGTAGCAACACTCATTTTAATTTCTCCCCTTACCACACAAATCTTGACGTACAGATCGATAATAGATTAATTCCATATTGGACTTATTTGGTCTCGATCTGAAATGAATACAAAATAATATGCATAAATGGTAATAACCATTAATGTACTAAATTGCATTGTGGGGGACTTCCTATAATCAATCAGGTTCCAAAATTTCAGCCTTCTCTAATGCTGCTATACTCCAGTCTATACACGTAAGTGAAAAAAAGATTATACGAGAATTTCGTTCCTTTTTTTTAATCGCTTTACTGCCTGTACCGAGATGATTTGCTCATGTAAACAAGTGAAACTCATCATATTCACCCTCCTTTAGTTCATAACGATGAACTATAATGATCATAATTCTCATGCAAATCTTGGATCATTAATTAAAAAGGATAATTATATACCTCAAGGGCACTATTTGTAAGAGTATAAACCTGAAACTTGGTGTAGTTAAAGAGAGCATAAGATGTTATTTTAATTTAGGTCCAAATCAAATAAAGCACAACTTTTAAATGAATTTCAAGAAAAGGTCAATAGGTAAACTATTGACCGTATCTCTACTGGAATAACCCTCAATTCCTACATTTAATTTTACAAAAACATTCATGGTAAAAACATCCTAATCCCACAACAAGTTTTGAATGTTTCAAAATCGGAATGAACTCCAAAACAACATTATATCGTGTCAAAGCTAGCATTCTTTGACAATTTCTTCAGTCATAAATCAGGATATAACCTTCCAACCAACTTATATACTTAATTATTATAGTGTAGACCAAGTATGCCATAGGCAAAAACTTATCATAACACAAACTTATTGGCCAAAGCCTCCCCATGTTATCTATAAATACTTCACTACTCTCTCCAACTTCTTACATACATTGCTTAGAACAATTCTGATCCTCTCCTTCTATTTCTTGTGTTACTTCGCTCAAAGACTTTGATAAGCAATGGCATCTAAGACCATCGAGAGCCACCGCTCAGGTGCAGAAGTTTATCATGGTGATGCTGAATGCAAAAAGAAAATAATTGAACTTCTCGAAGAGATCTGCCTTCCACAGGGTTTGTTCCCTATGGAGGAAATCGAGGAGTTTGGCTACAATCGCTCAGCTGGATTTGTGTGGATAATTCAAAAGAAGAGTAAGAACCACACCTTCAAGAAGATTAAGCGTCAGGTTTCCTATGCGACGGAGGTGACTGCATTAGTTGAGCCTCACAAGATGAAGAAGATGACAGGGGTTAAGACCAAGGAGCTTCTGTTGTGGCTCTCTGTTGTTGAGATGTATTTTGAAACTCCTTCGTCAGAGAAGCTCACCTTTAAGACAGGCACTGGACTGTCAGACAGCTTTGAGGCATCTGCTTTTGGGCTCGAGAAATGAGAGCTTTATTATTAATTATCGATCTCTGTTGTTATGCTATGTTTGTTTTTGTGTGTGGTATTGTATAGTAAGAAGTGTTCTTATATGTTGATATAAATGGTGTTTGGATTTGTCATTGCTTAATCTATAACAGAAAGTTGTCAGGAATGTTAATTAAGCAAAGTCTTATGTTTTTAAGAATGAATCAGGGCAACAAAATTAAGTTTGAACATTTGTACCTCTAATTTAGATCTTTTTCCTGAATGCCCACTTTTAGTTTTTGTTTAAAAACATCAAAACTCAAGGGTCTAGCTCCTGAGATATTCTTACTTACTAGTCCATAACTATCCATAGCTGATGAAGTTTCTAAGTTATTTCCGAGGCTGATATTATCGGTAACTAACTTCCTGTCTTTGTCAAGGCCGTTGACAATAAAGCAGATAAAACTAGCACAACAAGTGCCATTTCTATATTGCAACTTAAGACAATGTGTATATATATATATATATATATATATATTACCTCCTGAAATCCTCTACAAAGTTTCTACCGCTACTTGCGTCATTAATTGGTTTAAGTATCATCAGTCAACTCTCTAGCTCTTCAGCGAAGCGCTGTACAGAAAGGAATCTCTGATGCGTGATTCAGTATGAAAACCGAACTGTGATAATCCTTTTCGATTAATTAATTTGAACCATCAAGATAAGGTCTGAGCTCGGACCACCATAATAAAATTAGTCATCTTACTACATCAAAGGTCATCTCCCCATTCCCTAACTATTGAAGTACAAAATTAATTAGAATACTCACATAGACAAAGATTAAGTTTCCACTGGTAGATTCTTCCATCAGCATTTGAGTAATGAGAGCTCCACTGTTTCTTCTCCTCTTGAATGTGGAAATTTCGGACTTTCTTTTGAATTGGTTTGTACTGTTTACGGTGTTGAATAAAAATTTTTGTTTTCTGAATGATCAATCTATTATAATTGCTCCCTTACATCTCGAATTTTGGCTTACGGAGTCACGTATATATTTGCAAATATCACACCCTATCATACGAAGCCGTTCCATTCAGAATACAAAATTATGAATAAAAAATTCGATGACAAGTTCCCTTTTTCCTGAATCCCTCATTTCCTGTACAGAGACGAATAGCTCATGTAACCAGCTGAAACTCATCAACTTTGTCACACCCCGGGCCCATGGGCCCATTGGCGGGTGCAAGCCGTAGGACCCACTGAGTGTAACGTGCTGTTTGGCTCAAACAACTGCCAAAATCGACTAGCCGATGTTACACTTGAGTCTTTAGCTTCACTGTACAAATGCCTCAATTACTCGCATTCCCTCCGATGTGGGACTAAACCTTTCCCTTGGAAAGGTCGTGGCCAATCACGTGGGATGTCACAACATTCCTCCTGATTTTTTTTTCATGATGAAAACCTATCAGCATCATAAATCACATGTAATCTTGGATCAATAAAAAGCATAATCAGACACTTTAAGGATACTATGCACCGGCGTATAAAGAACTAAGTTTGGTGTAGTGGTGTGGTGCCATCGAGGGGAACTTAATATTTCATCAGAGAACTTTGGGTTCAAATCCCGACTAACACGCGTTTTAAGCGAATTTTAGGAACAGGTAACCTATCCACCGTATCTTCTGAATAAACTTGAACTCTGCATTTAATTTTCCACCAGTATCCATGGTAAAAAGGATCGTAATCCTTCGGCCAAATTTGAATTTTTCAGAATGACCTACGAACCACATTATGTCACGTCAAAACTAGCAATATCTGACTACTTCTTTGGTCATAAATCTTGAAAATAACTTCCAACTAACATATATACTTAATTATTGTGGTGTAGACCAAGTATTCCATAGACAAAAAATTGATCATAACACAAACTCATTGGCTAAAGCATCCCCAAATTCATCTATAAATATCTTTACTACTCTTCAACATCTCCCATCACAATTAAAACAATTCTCATCATCTACCAGCTTCTCCCGTTATTACTTCCTAAGCATTTGCCATTTGAAAAACAATGGTGTAGGCGTATAAAACTGCCTATAGGTCCCTTAACACAGCTCGGCACGGTGATTCGACAAACCAACGACCCATCGGGTGACATATCTAAACACGAGCGTCAGTCCACAACACCGAAGCCAAGTGACACGCAACGAAGCGGATTAACGAGGTGACGAGGTTAACGAATCACACGCAAGCAACGGAATGCATCCATTCGCGTGCGGAATCAAGCTAACGGTTCGGTGAGTCAACGAGTCATCCGACCGTAGAACGGATTCGAACTCGAACACCGAAGCGGATTTACTACCAAATCAGGATCCGGACTGCCAAATCAGGGTTCAGATCAATGGCGAAGCTCGGACAAACCGATAAATCACAAAAACGGACAACGGACACAACGGCGAAAGCCCGGCCAAAAGACGAGTCACTCGGGCGGCTCGGTGGCCGAGCCACCCAAAGGTGGCTCGGCCATGGCCGAGCCACCCAAGGGTGGCTCGGCGGCCGAGCCACCCCATGGGGTGGCCGAGCCACCAAGGTGGCCGGCCACCTGTGCCAAGGCGCCAAGGCAAAGGTCTGAGTGCCTATAAATAGGCTAGGGGGCTCATTTGTGAAGGGTTGGAACTTTTGGGATGCGAAGTTCTGCTGGATTGAGATCTCAACTTTGAAAGTTTGAAGCTTTAAAGACTTGGACATCATCAGATCTGGTTTTTGGCGAGCATCCACGTCAAAAAAGGCAGGAGTTCGAGAGAGGAAGATCAGATCTGAGATCCACACGGTAATACTCCGGATCAAAACTTGGTTTTTGATCCCGAGAAGGCTATTATTTCCTTGGTGAAATAGTACCCCCGACTGTTATTTCCTTCGTGAGATAACACCCGTTATACCGTGTAGATCTGACCGGATCTAGATCGCGCGGTAGTCCACGGATTAACCCCGACGCAGGCGAAGAACCCACAAAAGCGAGTGACCGCAAAACAAGAGCTCGTGATTCGTTCGACAAACAAGGAAAAAGTTGTAATTTTTATTTTCTTTTGATTTTATTGTAACCGGATCTTATAAAAAGACCGGATCTTTGTGTAATCGATAAACAATTGCCAAAGAGCACACTGACTTCAATGAAAGCTA